AAATTCAGTTTGTTGAATATACCCTCATCCTGTTGCTGATATACAATTATGTAATAAATTTTTGTAGTAACAAACTCATAAAGCAGTGGATAGTCAGGTAGATTAGAGTTTAATGTATTACAAAAATTAGTAAATTGTTTATGAAAATCTGTATCTAAAAAATAAAATTTTTTTAGTTCAAAATCATTTGAAATTCTTTTTTTCAAATCATTTTCAAGTTGATACATATATGTTGCCTCTTGGTTGAATGGTTCAAAAATTGTTAAAATGTTTAAAACAACATGTTGATAGCTTTTTATAAATGATTATATATAGCATCCTTTTAAATAACAAACTAATAAAGATAATTTTAACTATTATAACATTTATTTTTCAAAATATAATAAGGTTTTTTTTATTTTTCTTTCTAATAAATCAAATACCTCTTCAAATTTTATTTCATTTAATGATTTAAGTGCCTTAAATAATTTTTCAAAAAAAAGTACATCAAAGTTATTTATAGTATTTGTTAAGAAATTTAATCATTTTTGAACTTTATTAGACAACTCATAAGCATATTATTCAGAAAGTAAGTTAATTCAGTTTTTACTATTGAATATTTATAACATAGAATCTTGACTAACCAAAAATTTCATTAACAAGTTAAAAAAATCATTACTAAACTTTACTAAATATTTTAATTGAATATTTAATTTTTTATCATTTAGTTATGTATAAAAAAGATACTAATTATTTAAATATAATGAAGTTGTATTAGGATAGGTTTTTAATACTTGAATAAACCATTTTATGAATTGTTGATACAATTCAAATATTATGCAACTGTATATAATTCATATTTTTAACAAGTTTGAAGTAATAATTAATATTGTATATAATAATATCTAAAAAAGATTTGTAGAGATCTTGAATATATTTGGATTTAATATTTATTGGTACATTGCTATTTGTATTTCTGTAACTGTTATAAAGGTACCAAGCAAAATATAAAAGATTGAATGAATGAGATTTTCTTAAAAATTCATCAGATATGTCCAAAAGTCTCATTTTTGAAATTAATAAAAACTATATTTATAATATATAATCCACATTTAATCTGAATAAAATTTGTATTAGCTAATTTGTTAAATTTAACAATAGTGCTATTAGTATTTCCAAACATATAGACAATATTATTAATAAGTTATATTAAATATTTTTGTATGTCAAGCTGATATTTTTAACAAATATTATTAACTAATTCTATAATCATATTAGCATTACATCTTTTTATAATTTTTAAACTAATAATACTAATTATTAAATAATTTTGTATACTATCCTAATATATTAAACAAATTACCAGGTTTTTATCTTGATCATGGGTAAATTCATTAGTAGAAATATCAAATATACTTGTTTGGTAAGTATTTTTAGTTAAATTTAAAATAACTAATTCAGAGACTTGTTTATGCCAAATTGTAATATACTTTTTTGAAAGCCAATTTTTTGAAAGTTTATTTATTAAAAACTTATAAATTGATTTTGTATACTCAATGGTTAAACAGATTAAAATTTGGCCAACTTATATTAATTTTGTTGTAAGCCAAATTATATTTAAAAAATAATGCTGATTATTTAATTTAAAAAGATTTTTAACTTATTTTTTAAAATTTTTTTAAGAAATATTTGTAGATTTAGACATTAAAGAACATATTGTGGATATATAAGTAGATATTTTTTGTTTGAGATGTCAATTTTATGATCCAAGTTACTTAGTTTTGATAATCAAATTTTGATTTTATTTAATTAATTTTTTATTTTAAAATTTGAGTTAACTACATTCTTTTTGTAGGACAATATAGCTTAATTATAGCTGATAAAGAGAATTAAAAATTACTTCATCCAATTGCTATTGTAAATATAATGATATGATTTTTTTTTGATTTTCTTCTTTTAGATATCTTATATTTTCTAAAAACTTAATTGTATTTTTTTTTTCATTATTTAAGACTTAAATAAGCTTAGTAAGTTATTTTTAAAATATGTAGTACAAATCAAACTCTTTCTGATGATCCCTCACACCAACTTTTTCCAAAAGTCTAACCTACAAAAACTATATAGTTATTATATTTAAACATAACAAAACTTTCTTTGAAGTAACTAGGAAGGCTATTCACTGCATGCTTGGTTGTAATTGAAAAGAACTAAAAAAGATTCGAACTTTTGTAAGTGAAGTCCCTTGGTAAAACACAAGTATTATCAAGCAAAGAAATAGTAGATAAGCTTTAAAGCTTTGTCAAGTGCTATAAGAGCTTAGGCTTAAATAGTTACTTGGTTTAATATAATATTCTATATAGCGTATACTCTTACAACTTCTTCTTAAGTTGGTTTTTCTTTTTGCCCTTACTACTGGATTTTTTTCTTGAAATTTTTACCAAAAAGTGAAAAATCTGGCATATTCTCTTCAAAGAATCGACACTGTTTACCTTTCCAAATCGGTAACATTAGTTATAAGAAAATTATGATACGAGTATCAGACCTATGATGGATAACACATATCAAACTCAAGAGAAAAATAAAAACTTCGATCATTCTTCTCATATGATAAATGGAATATATTATAATACAAAGATAAAGTAAATGTAGGATATTCTTTATTTAGTATTATATAGAATTTTTAAAAGCCAAACATGAGCAAAAATAGTGCCTTCATGTTTTTTGTTTTTTTTTTGTTTTTCTTTTTGTTATTTTTTTTTTTTTTGGTTTACATTTAGGTTTTGTAGTTAGTTACCTTTTTTTTTTTATTCTTTTTTAGTTTTTCTTTCATATATCCTATTGTTCTTTAGGCAAAGATTATAGAATCCTCTTGCTTGATAATTAAAAGAAAGAAAAAAACAAATTGAAAATAAAGCTAGGAAGACAATATTGGAGCTTGTCATGAAAGAAGGAAGACTCTTTCATTATGGACTTTAAGTAGTCTGATAAGCAGTTTACTTCTACTTAAAGTAATGTGACAGGTCTGCACTTAGGTGCCATTAGAATGGCTAGGTGATGCTAGATTTAGTTGTTAAACATCAATGTAATTGTAGTAATTACTAGAATATTAATAAAGTACTAGCGTGACTGTCTAAGAAAAAAAAATATATATAGTAATTTTTTATTTTTTAATACTATATATAAAATCAAAAATGTTATTTAAATCTTTATTATTAAAACTATTTAAAACATCTGTTATTTTTTTGATATTTTTTATTTTTATTTAATTTACTCTTAGTTGTATTATTTAATAATGTTTTTTTTGAAAATTTTAGCATTATGATTATAATGAACAAATTTTTTTTATACAGTGCGAGACAGCATAAACCGATATCTTTTATAAGCTTTTTTTAAATTATTATTAATTGTATAATTTATTTTAAATCAAAAAACTAATTTAGCCAAATTGTTATTTTTGATGCTATTATAATTTGGCTAAAACAGATTTTTAAAAAATCTATTCAATTAAAAGTTATATCAATTTAAAGTTGACCAATTTTTATATAACAATTAAAATTTAGCATATATATAGATAATTAAATATATATAATTTATTAGCTAAATAATTTACTTTATATCTAAAGATAAATTATTTAATAACAAAAATTTATTATATACAGCAAAATTTATTTTTTTAAAAAATTATTTAAAGCAAAAATGCCAAGTTTTATATAAATAAATAAAATTTTTATTTGTTTTTTAATTATTTATTTATTACAATCAGATCTCTCTAAATTAAACCCATTAAATGCAGCACTTCTCTAAATGCATCCTTTAATTCAGGCCCAAATATATTCTAAACTCTTACAAATACAATTTTTTTTATTGTTCTCTAAATACAAACTATCAAAATCTGAATTGCATCTAACCCTAACTGATTTCATTCTTTTTACCAACAATTACTTCATCAACAGCTTAGTTCACCAAAATTAATTTACAGACAAGATGATTTTATTAGCAATTAATTTACCAAGTTCATTTTACTGATAGTTTAATACACTGACAACCTATTTCACAAATGACTCTAATGTAATTTATAAAAAACAACTTGACGATGAAATGAGCAACTGGTGAAATAATCTTGCTAGTAATTAATTGTTGATAAAATGATCTTGTATGTAAATTAATTGTTGGTAAAATGTTTTTAGTGAAATGACACAAATCCAACTATATTAACCATTTTTCTAGGCTTAAAGTCTGGTGCCTCTCTAATAATCAAATAACAATTGTAATTAAATATTGGGTAAGTGATAATTGTTTATTTTCAAACATTTCACATGATAGGATACGAACTTATCAGATGATTCTATAACAGATAACCAATGTAACAGTAAATGCAGTATTCTAAAATAAAAATAGACAAAACATAAAATCAGCTCCTCTTCCAAGCCAAATATCTAAAATTGAAAAATCAACTCCTTTTTTTTTAAATGACACATATCTAAGAATCTATAAGAATCCATAATCAGACCAATGACCCATAAAATTATGTCTTGATAAATTACAATAAACGATTCAATAAAGGTAAACATATATGACATATATAGATCATTTATCTGACTATAGTAAAAAGAAAAGTGTTTGAATAGTATTTGAAATCTTGGATTAAATATAGTATAGATGACGCCTACTTTAAATTAATTGATTATTTATTAAGATGTCACCCATACTATTTTTTATCTGAAATCTTGAAGATAGCAATTTGAGTGAACGAATATCTTGGATAAAACTGGTTTAGTAAAAATTTCAAGTAGACAAATCTTAAAAAAAAACTGGTTCAAAAATACTAACCAAATAAGAAAACTAATTTAAAGAACAATATAGATCAAGAAAAAGAAATTAAGTTCAAAAAAATAAAGTTTTTAAAAGGGTTAAAATAATATGTATGAAAAGAGAATTAGCAAAAAAAAGATCTGAATGAAAAAGGAATGTGATACTCCCGTTGATAGCCCAAAAATATAGGTAAGAATTAGTAATCAAAAATGCTAGATATGATGTATCTAATTTATAAAAAAGAATATTTTTTCAAATCAATAAAATTTAAGTTATAATAGCTTAATAAATATTACTCTGCTTTAAAATTACCTTAAATCTTGTAACCTTGCTCAATTATAACAATCAACTTGCGGAATATTTTTTTCTAAATGGGCCAAAAAAAAAGTGAACAGTTCAATTATGAAATAATGCATTAAATGCATGGCAATCATTAAATAATAACCACAGTGATAATGAATATAGCAGTGAGAATTCTAGTGAGTCTAATAGCAATATTAGTAGTGATGAAATGTTTGAAGATAATATAATGATGAATAAAGAAGAGGCAGAAGATATTGTTAATAAATTACTTGAGCAAAGAAAAAAACTGAAAAGGCCCCTTGTTTATATAGGAAATTCCATAAGAACTTATCAACGAAAACGTCTTGAAAGTAAGAAAATGGCCATAGGATCTGCTCACATAACTGACTTCTTCAGACCAAATAATAATTTAGATCAAAGTAATAAAAGTAGCAAAGAGAATAGTTTCAATAATAATGATAAGTTAGAAAATAGTGAATCAGATGATAAACGATGTCAAGATGCAGAAATTATTAATAATGAAAATGATAAAAACATAAAAAATGCAATCGAACGAATTGAAAACTTAATAAAATATGAGAAACCTCAAAAAGTCGAGCTAGTTCAGTACCAATCAGTTGTTGGATATCTGCGTCTCTTACAAAATGGGAAAAAAAAAGAGAATCAAGCATAACTATTGCTACGATACATGGAAAAGGTTCATATAGAGCTTAAAGTATAAAAAGATGGGCGATGCTAAGTTTAAAAGATAAATATAATGCATTTAATAAATTATTTCTATATTTGCCTCAGGTCTACTTCCACTTATAAAATTTATGATTCAAAATAGGTGAAACAATACCTTTAAGTCTTTAAGGAAAACATTCTTCCAAGTCCCTTCTGCATGATGAATCAGTGTGTATGTGTGTAGCTGATTATCTTAGATCAAATAAATTTAAAGTAAGTTTTTATTTGGTAAAACAATATCTTGAAGAGAATATATTTCTAGACCTTGGATTTGATATACCCCAAACAGTAAATGTTAGAACAGTATGATGATAGAAGCATCATTTAGGTTTCATATATAAACGATATCAGAAGGGAATTTATGTTGATGGTCATGAGTGTCCTGACGTAGTAGCGTACCAAAACAAATTCCTAAATCAAATTGTTGAATATGAACTATTAATACCAAAATGGCTTGCCAAAGAGTGTAAAATAAGAACTTCACCAATGTTAGATTTAAATCAAAAACTACATATCTTAGTAACACATGATGAGTCAACCTTTTATGCATATAATAGAGTGCATGCTTTTTGGGGTCCACAAGGAGAACAACCTTTGAGAAAAAAAGGGACAGGTGCAAGTTTACATGTAAGTGATTTTTTGACGGAGGATATTGGGTGACTAAAGGATGATAAAAATGAAGCATGAGTGATTATGGCATTAGGTGCAAATAAAGATAGTTATTGGAATAGTGAATGGTTGCTTAAACAGGTAAAAAAAGCAATCCCAATATTCGAATAAATACATCCAGGAGCTGTCAAAATATGGGCATTTGATAATTCAACGATTCATATAGCATTGGCACTAAATGTATTAAATATTAAAAGAATAAATATGTTTTCTGATAGAAATTAGCCGAAAATGCATTCAACAAAGTGGAATGGTCATGACCAAGAGATGGTTTATCCTCTTAACCATCTAAAAAAAAAACTACGAGGCCAAGCAAAAGGTAAAAATAAAAAACATAAAATAAAATAAAAAAATAAAATAAAATAAAATAAAATAAAAAATCAAATTTTTATTTGTTATTATTAAAGGGATGAAAGCAATTTTGGAAGAACGAGGATTATGGCAAGATGGTTTATTGGCAGAATATGAAACATGCAAAAAAAAAAAGATAAGGATACTGAAGCAGTAGACTGCTGTGCTCGCTGGATACTTGCAAATCAACCAAATTTTCAAGAACAACAAGGCCTAATACAAGAAAAAATAGAAAAAAGAGATCATAAGGTAATTTTTTATCCAAAATTTCACACTGAATTGAATTATATTGAAATGTATTGGGGTGCCATGAAAGCATATGCAAGACAAAAATGTGACTATACCTGAACTGGCTTATGTCATACTGTTCCTGAAGCTTTAGACTCAATTCCAGTAGAGCATATTTATGTATATGCAAGACTAAGTTTTTGGTAGATGGATGCATATCATCATGGGTTAACCAGAGCTGAGGCGGAATATGCTATTCGCAAATACAAAAGTCATCGAAAAATAAATCAATCAATTAGTGCTGATTAAAAAGTCAATTGATCTTTGTAAATATAAAATTTGTAATGAATGATTGTATTTTTTCTTTATTGGCTGAATAAAATATTACTTTTATCTTTTATACTATAATTATACGTAAATTTTTATTGGCTATCTGCATGACCACCTGACTTTGCAGATTCTCTAATTTGGCACTTATTATAGAAAAAAGGTGTCAGTTTATGCTATCTTGTACTGTACTAACATTATTCATTTAATTCTTTTATAGTTTTTAATAATAATTAGTAAAAAACAAAACAGTTTGTAATTTGCTCAAAATACATACAATTAAGCATTAATTTTTTGATTAAAAAAATTCATGATTTTTTTATTATAATAAATTGATAATTGATTAAAATATTTGAAATATATACAATTATACATTAATCTATTGATCAAAGAACAAAAGCACTTAATTGTAATCTTTATAACAATAAGATTTTATTGATCAAAAAAATAAGAAAATATCTTGATAATCTAAATTTTATATTTAGAATAATTATTAATAAATTAATTAAATTTAACTAATCAAAAATAGTAATAGATGCATATAATTACAAATTAAATTTACTAGTCAAAAAAAAAACTTGATAATTTATTATTTGATTTAAAAACTTTCTAATACAGATTCTACAGCTTTTTAATTTCTATTTTGAATATCTTTTAACTGCTTTAGTTTCTAACAATAATATTTAAATTGACTAAGCTTAACCAAAATAAAATTAATTTTACTTTAATAATAAATCTTGCTAAATTAACTATAGTGTTATAAGTATGCTTTCTATTATTTAAATAATAAGAACTTATGCCAATCAAATAATGTTTTACTGATTATTAGTATCAAATTATTTTTTTGTAAATATTTAAAATTTTATCTAAAAAAAGGTTTAATTTTGGTAGTCTTGTTAAACATTTGCTTATTAGATAACTTTTCTATATAATTTAGTTAGTTACTTAATAATTTATTAATTTATTAACCAAATAAATATATTAATCAATAAATTGCAATTAGCAATTTAAACACTCATGCTAAATTTAAAAAACATTATATGCAAAAGATAAATTTTGGGCTATATATTTACAAATTAACTTTTATAAATATAATAATATTTACAAACTATTAAAAAAAAACACTATATTCTAAATTTATTACAAAAACTTATAACAAATTAAAGTATTTATCTTTCTGATCTGTTTTATATAGTTTTTTATATCAAACTTAATTTAATAAGAAGAGTTAAATTTTAAAAATTTTATTTTCTTTTAATAATTTAATATTAAAAAATAATTTTTATTTTATATAACCTAAAATAATTAAAAAACTATTTATAATTAACTTAACTATTGCCTACATATAGGTTTGATTTAATTAGTTGACTAACTATCTCAATGTTATAATGGCTTATGATTAGTCGATACTCTAATTCTGATTATTCTATAATCAAAATTATTATAATTTTTGTATTTAATAATAATAACAAATAATACAATAAAAATTACATAAAAAAATACTTTTCATAATAATGCAAAATTGCATAAGTGAGCAAACAACTTTATTTATTCTACTTTGACAGATACTTTCATTAAATTACTTGTAAATTACAATGAATTAGTACTAAAAATTATAACCAAAAATGTGAAAATCAAACATATTAAAGTTAATTTATTTGGCAATATTAATACAAAGAAAGATGCCTTAAAATAGTTTGAGAAATTTTAAAAATAATCAAAAACTACAATGCATTTAATATATACTTATTTAGTTAAAAGAAGTAATATAGTTTTTATAAAGTTGTAATATTGTATTCATAGTTATTTAGTTAAACAAAAAAATAATTGTAAAATAAAAAATCCAACTAGTTTGCAAAATAGAGATACAAGATATAAGGCAATTTAAAATCTTAGATTAAAGAAAATAGTTTTATAATAGATACTTATTTGAAATAAAGCTTTGTTTTATATATAATTACTTGTTTAATTCTGTAAGTTCATTAAGTTTTTATCTAGTTGAACTTGAAGCTCAAAAACATTATATTAAATTATTTAATATGGGTTACTTAACAGTACTGCATAATATTTATATAAAAATAAATTATATTTAACTGTTTCTAATAACAATAAACTGATAAATTGTAGTAAAAAAAGAATTTGTTAAAGCATGTATAAAAATTATAGAGAAGTAAAGATGTTGTAAATAATTTTTCAAAATTGTCTTCTACAAGGTTGATCACTGTATGCTCAGCTCTCACAGCTGTGCAAAGTACTATAGTCTGCTCTGTATATTAGGTCTAACTATCATTATTCTAGCCTTTCACATAAATAGACTTGTCCACCTGCTTACTTATTTCATTCTTTTTATTAACTACAATAGTTGTATCTTTTAATAAGATGGTGGCTGCTTCAATGTTGGTTGTAGAAAACAAAGAGTTTAAAAAAAAGACTATAAAAAAAGTAAGTCAAGAATAAAAACTAGTTGGAAGTCAAGATTAAATTTTTTTAATAAAAATTTTTTAGCTACTAAATAAGCAATATTATTAAAATATTTAACAATTTGCAAATAAGTTAATTTTTGGTTTTTTATAACATCAAGGTATGTGATAATTTGAGCAAGAAATTTAGTATTGATAATATTTTTTGTTAAGAGATTAATAGCCTCTTCTTTAAATAGAGACTGTATATTATAGTTTTTAGCAGTAATTTGATAGTAAAGAGAGTGGTAGCAATAGAAGTAGTAATTATAATATTTGAAATTGATTTTAACTTTGTTTTGTTTACAAATAAAGTTTTTAGTTTGATCAATTAGTTTGTTTAAAGCTTTGATAAAGATAGGTTGATCAAGTGAGACAGCATGTTTCTTGTTTTTATGAAATAGTGTAGCATTAAAGATTGGATAAATCCATATTTTATTATTCAGAGGTGGAAATAATAAATAAAATTTGGTTAAGATATTATTGAAAAGTTTGGTACTATCATGGAATTTTTTATCATCAAGATATTAATATTCTTTGTTATCACAGATAAAACAATGGAAGTTAGCAATACAAGATGCTTCTTTATGATATTTATAAATTAAGTTAGGTTTTTTAAATATATAAGTTTTAGAAAAATGTTTGAAGAATTGAAAGATAAAATATTGATAGAATTGAATTCTAAGAGAGATGTGAACTTTTTCTTTGTCAATATTATAAGAGAATTGTTTACTAAAAGAAAAATAGTAAGTTTTAAACTAGGAGTTAAAATAGTTAAAAAAATTTTTTAGTAAAGAAATGCAAAATCATTTAAGAAAGGGAGTTTTAGAAATATTAAAGAAAAGTTTAATATTAAATCTAGTATCTAATTGAATTGTAAGAAATTTTTGTTTAAGATCTATAGTTTAAGTAAAAGTTTCAATTTTAAATCTTTTAGGTCTAAGCTATAGGTTCTTAACAAATTTTTGGTAATCAATTAATTGATAGTTATTGGATAAGAAAAAGTATAAACATGTAAAATTAAGACAAAGTTGAAGATGATTATGAGCTATATAAGAAGAAATAGTAACTAATAAAACAAAAATTTTAAAATAATTAAGTTTAATAAAAAAATAGTTATGAATTTAAGAATAAGGTTTTTAAGATAGATTTAAGAAGGTTAAAGGAAAAATTAGCACTCTTATTAATATTAGAATTGCTGTTGTAGATAAGGTCAGTTAAAAATTTAGACTGTTGCTCAGTTATAATATGGATAATATAATAGAATAAAGCTTTGAGTACTAGTTGGGTAACAGAAACTGGTTTAATTTCTTTGTCAAAATAAAAATTATAAAGAAATTTTTAAGAAAGGTAAAGAGTTGGAAAGAAAATAAAGTTTGCAGTTTTTTGTTGAGGTTTATTTTTTTGGTAATAAGAAAATTTACAACTTCATCATATATAGGATTAGATTTTGGTTTAAGAATACGGCTGAACTATAGTTTAGCGTGTACTAATGCATGCAATTGTCACAATGTGATATCATCAGATTGGTAATATGCTGTGGAACATAGTGCTTCTATAAATGCTTCTCAGAGTCTGTTTTTGTTTACTTTGCGCCAAATAAATTCAAATAAGTGTAATTCAATCAAGTTTTTGTTTTGATTTCGTGATGCAATCTGTAACTTGATGCCATTCCACAACCCTTCTATAGTATTCGTATGTGCACCTGTTTTGGAATCCACAAAATTTTCTGAATGATTAACTGTTTTATGTTTGAATCCTAGTTCATTGATATTCAGATAACCTTTCCAACAATCTGTATGAACAATAGATCCTTTTTCAACATATTTATCTAAAATATCTTTGATTGTTTTTTCATCACGTTTTTGTACTTTTATCAGAAAGCATTGTTTTTGTTCTGTTCTTTCAATACCACCAATAATCCATACATCATCAATAACTCTACCACGATGATATTTTCTTCTTCCAAATTTAGATTCATCGATCTCAACAATAATTCCTTTACCACTTATCTTGTCTTCATAATCTTTTAAAGTATCAATAACTAATTCTCAATAGAATTTCATATAATCAGTTATTGTATTTGGTGAATGGCTTATTATCTTTTTAATTGAATAATAAATGTATTTTGATAACCAAAAAT